CTCTTGCACCGGGCTCTCCTTGCAGGGCCCTTTGTGCATCCGCCGCCTTCGCACGGCTCCTTGCACGGCCCTTTGCACGGCTCCTTGCACGGCCCTTTGCACAACCGCCCCTGCCGCTCGTGTGCAGCCCCTTGCAGCGTGTTGCCGCCGCCGGGGTGCACGGCGCCCACCTGCTGCGTGCAGCCCCTTGCATGGTCCCCTGTGCAGCTCCTGCGTGAGCGGCTCCTTGCACAGGCTCTGGTGACTCTGCACCTTGCACAGGCTGCAGTGAATCCCCCCCTGTTCCCTCCAACCCCCTCGGATGTGAAGGTTGTTGCACAGTCCCCTGGCACAGCTCGCTGCAGTCCCCTTGGGTGCAGAGCCCCTTGCGGGGCCTGGTCCCCGTCCAAGCGGGTGGCCTGTCCCAGGTGGCAGGGTTCAACCCTGTGGCACTGCCATCCCCCGGGCACCCAAAGCCCCCGTGKAGGCAACGCACCCAGCTCCGACGGGCTGGAAACGAAACGGGCTTTGACTTGAGAGGCCTTTGGAACAAACGGCGTCTATGCCTGCAGCAGCTGGGCCTCCATGCGGCTTCTGGCCGTTCTTGCCATCAGAGAAGCCTGGTGGCTCCCGAGGGACCGTCCCCTCCGGGGGGGTCGTTCCTGCAGGGTCGGGCAGCTCAGCCCCCTCCTGCCCTGCCASCTGGACTCAGCCCTGACATCATTTACTCGCTATGTCTCCCCCAGAGCCTCCCGGAGCACTTGGGAAGACCTCATCTATGTCTGTGTTGCCTTTGGTCCCGAGCCAAGGGGCTGCAGCCGTCGGCAGCCTGTGGGGATGGTCTGTCGGGATGGCGCTGGCATCCAGACCGTTCCCTTCCAGCCAGGACAGCCACTTCCAGCAGTCTGGAATTCCAGAAGGAGAGAAGCAGGAGCTGGTGCAGAGAATACCAGCGCAAGYGAGCCCAGAGCAAGCTCATCTGCAGCAAGGACGTGCACAGGGGCCCTTCATTGGAGATGAGTGTGCAGGGGACACCCTGGGGAAGGGCTGCAGTGGAGTCTGTGGGACCTGAGGCTTGTGGAAGAATTAAATTATATCCTGTGGCAGATCAGGCATCTGCTTAGATCCATTTCTTCCTTGTCCAGGAGGATGCAGCAACCTGCTTGTCAGGCACCAACTTGGCATCATCCTCACGTGCCCTTCCAGCCCCCATCGGTACCAAGTGGGAGCTGAAATGCTGCACGGAGGCCAGGAGGTGGAAAGAGGAGAAGCATGCCAGGAAAAGCCTCTGCAAAGGAGCTGAATATTTCTGCAGGATGTTTCCAGGCTCCAAGAATCCCAAGGAAAGTGGCTCCACAACCCYAGCACTCCATAGGCACTTCAGGCTTCTCCCTCCCAGCTGGCACCGCCGGCACTAACACGTTCTGCAGACTTGCCAGCTGCCCAGGAGAATTTCCTCCTGCTTCTCCAATGCCTTTGGTGCCACAGGTCGTGTACAAAAAGCCTGGCATTTCCTTGCAGCCTTGKAAACCACGGGACGAGTTCCTTGGCTGGCACAAACTGTTCGTGCCRCTGCCAGGGCATTTGCACCGGGAGGGAATCCGCTCCATCCCCAGGGATTCTGTGTACGGAGAGGCAGTTTTGCAGCTAGCGAAACAGCCAAGAGCAACAGAGTCCTCTGAAGCAGGCACCAAACTTCCATTTCCATCCAGCTGACTCTAACAGCCACATTTCCCACGGCGTCCCATGCATTTGACAATCCATTTTGGATTGCCTTGCCATGCCTTTGCATGGAAAACCCTCCTTCTGCCGGCCAACAGTTTGAATGAGAAGAGCCCTGACAAAACCCATCGATTGCCCCTTTCCTTGGCCATGCTCCGTGCAACCAGCTCTGCTCTGGGCTCCGGAGACCGGGACGCTCTGCTCCCGGCCTGGCTGCCTGGAGAAACAAGGGCAAATTCCTTGGCCTCGGGTTTCTCCGCGGGTAACAACCCCGAGTGCTCATGTAAAGCAATCGGAGAAGGGAAAAGCCGGGCAGGGGCAGCGGGTGCAATGGGAGAACTTCTCCCCAACCTTTCAAAGGCATCCGGGGAATGTGGAGCATCCAGCCCGGCACACGGGAGGCGCCAGATGGGCACRTATGGATGGGAGAAAACAACAGGGCGAGAGCAGCAGCCTCCAGTTTGAAACTGGGATGGGAAGGCCGAGCTGGGGAGCCCATCGGTCGTGAGCTCCGAGCCAGCCTCAAGCCAGAAAGTGGGAAAAAACGAACCCGAAGCCAAACCCATCGCAGCAAAGCGATCACACCCCTGTGCTGGTTTGGTTTTTGAAGCCCTAACTGCGTTAAAAAAAGTCACTGATATTAATATTAATATTATTTATTATAATAAAGACCAGTCAAGCAGCGTGAAAAAAATATATCTTAGCTACATTACCTTAAATTGCCAAAAATATACAMATTTTTTTCTCTTTTATTTAATAAAAAACAAATCAAAACAGACACATGCAACATACTAAATGAGACATTAGCATCAAAATGGGTAAAGAAAYGTACCCCAGTGCAACTGAAACACAGATAATCTTTAGCTTTTCTTTGTCTTTCCCCTGCTCTTCCTTTCTCACACAGACACGAACGGTTAATGCCACCTTTCCAGAAGTGTCCCCTTCTCTTCCCCTCCATGTGCCCAAGGGACCCCGGTGCTGGCAGGGGATGGGAGGCCAGGGGCGAGCTCCAGAGGGACCAGGTGCTGACATCTAAGTGCTTTATCTCTCTTCCCCTCCTTGGGATCTTCAGCCTTTCCCCCCGCTAGAAACCCCTGGGAGCAAAGAGGCTGCAGCCTCAAACCGCTGCCACCAACAAGAACACGTGGGCATGCCCCTAAAAGGGGTCATTTGGCCCCAAACTGGCYATCTCCATCTTTAACATAAGCCAGGTGCAAGCAGATCCCTCCCCTCCAGGCCTTTCCCGGCTCTTGGACGTGGATCTTGGACCGACCAGAAAACTTGC